GCTGTTTGACCTATGACAGCAGTGTTTACTTGGTTGCTGGGTGCTGACCCTTGTGCCTGGAGGCTAGGATGTGTCCTGTCTAACGATTGGCTTTTGTTGTCTGGCTCCTATGGCAAACCTCCTATCTTATGAGGGAAAAGATGTAATTATGTCTTTGAAGGGCACAAAACACGTGGATATAGTCAAGGTCATGAGATTTTAAAGACTTAACTGAAATTGATATAACTTTACTGTTCTGATAAATAACTTAATTTTCTAGTTTATGATCAAGAAGTAAAAATTTTTGTAGATTATCAAAAGAACCATTATAGGAATATGCCATTAGTAGAAATGCAGGTGTGATCCCAAAGTTAGCTTTAGAGAGATCATGAATAGACAGGCTAGACCAATGATACTGCTTGTTTCTTAGACAAATAAAACAAATAACCCTCATGAAACGTGACCAATGGACTAAGCTAAGATGGCTTCACTTAGCTTCACTCATAGTAGCAGAATCAGAGTGCTGTTTTTGTTCTTTTGTAGCTTTTTCTCAGTTGCATCAGAAAAGTAACAAATATTTCAGTGCAAGACATTTTTCACTTTCACAGATTCAAAGGAAAGGGCAAAACATTCATTTAGTACAGCCTACCATAAAACAACAAAGCACATAGTACAGTGAAAGTAACTAATTGCAAGTGGTTTGGCGACAAGGAAAGCATCTCAACTAAAACAACTGTTGCAACAGTGAGTCTCCTGTCTCATAGAAACACTGGATCTGTTATTCACGGGACCGAATAAAACCGCACCGACAGAAAGACTCGTTTTAGTTGGTTGTGCAGCAGGGCAGTGGGGTAACGGAAACGTAACAGGATTATACATGGCGTCGCGCCGGGATAGATCCTCCAAGTTGCGCGAGAAAGAATTTTCTTTCATCCCACGTCGCCCACAAGTGCACAAGCGAAATGATAATCATGTAAGTTGTAAGGAATCAGATCTCCAAGCAGATGCAAGAATCAAGGTGACTCTCCAAACTATTTTATGCTTGTTTTTTGGCAACATTGAGTACACCTTTCTTTGTAAGTACATTGCACTTTAAGGATTTGTCCCAGGAATAAGCTAGTAGATCCTTGCATCTGCTTGGAGTTTAGCCTGTGCATCCTATGTCCTGTTTTTGCTTTAAAGAAATTAACATAAAATTTTAAAGGTTCTTCTCAAAATTCAATGTTTTTCTTGTATGTCTCCACCAAACTACATGTACATGAATGTTAAGTCATGAAATCTCCAAGCAGATCCCTTTCGGTGGCAAGACAGTATCTATTAGCCAGAGGAGTGACCACTAGCCACAGATATAAAGAGCTTAGACCTTAGTTGTGAATTACTTTACATTGAATTACGGTCTATAACAGTTAGATCACACAAAATTGCTGAGAAGTTGTGAATGGACAGATTTAGCACAGTGATTTAGGTACACAATTTGCACCAGCAAAGGTGTTAATGGCTTCAATATAATTGGGATCTAGACTGTCATTATGTCGTTATCACATGTAGGTGTTAATTGGTGCCGAATGTGTACTGATATTTAATTGAGTGCAGTAGGCAAAAACTTTGTGGAATACTGAGCTTGGTGGCTTTCTGGAAGCTTTCACTATAACAATTATGATAAAAGTTGAAAACTAGGCAAGGAATAATTAATCTAAAAATCTTTTTTAATGAATAGTGATGACAACTCACCATTTAGTTGGCTCCAAGTTTCTCTTTCTAAGAAAATTTATAGCAAAACTGTTTGGAGTTCAGAGCTAAAAATTTACATGTGACCTAAAGAGATATGTATCATTACACGGAAAAACATTCAGCATCATACTATAGCCCAAAGTTTCCCTGGCAGAATCTTTAACAAACTGTCCATGTACAAAAGAGGGCTGGCATGGGGGTTAGTGATTATGAATTACATGAAATTTTCACCGCCAATTTAATACGGATTACATTAAAGCCTCAGAGCTGATTATGACTTTATGCTTTGCATTTAATGTTCTATTACGAATTTTGTTAATTTTGGGGGAGGCTGCCTACGGATTATCAAGACTAAATAGGCCTGATGACGCCTTACGAAAAAGGGCATGCAGGCCCCCACAAAATAGCCAGGTTTGTACATGCATACCCATGGGTCCCCTATAATCACAAAAACCACCACGCCATTGTGTGGGTCTCTTAGAAAGTGAGTGTTGATTTGGGAGATCATCCTGTTAAATAATGCAGGCATACCTACAGGGACTCCATTCTCGCTTATTGACAACTTAGTTCAGACATGCAGGTACAATAGGAGCACGGAAGATTAGTGTTTTTCATGGTAGATTTTGCAGTTACATGGTTACGGACACAGACGTTATGATGTGTTGATGCATTTCTGAAGCGTTGGATTCTTTTATGTGATAATAGATGCCAACATTGGCAGTTAAACTTATTACTTACCTTCGGAAATTTCATTCTGCTGGTATAATTTTCTGCTTTCTGCAATTATGGCATGGTTTGGTTGCTTATGGTAGAAGAATAGATCAAGTGTTAGACTTGGTAATCATGTTATACGTTCCAAAGTACACCTTATCCATTAAGTGCTTTATTTTGGAAAACGTAATTCAAAGGTAATAAACAGATTTATAGTAAAGTAGCACAGGAATCAAAAGAGTAAATCTAGTTAAGCATTGCGGGGAAAACATGAAATTTTCCCTAGCTTTCCCTAATAACAACATCTATTACCAACAAATGCTGTTGCCTAGGTGTATGGGAGAATTTTCAATTGAGTCAGCGGTGTTAGTCAGCCATGTCCCCTCTTCAATAAGTAACCAGGAGTGGTACACTTAAAGTGCTCGAGCTCGGGGTTTTTAATGGGTTTTTGTAAAGCCATCCTGCAGGCTTTTTGTTACCTGACAAAATCAAGTGGAGTTAGAGTGCTGTACATGCTAGGAAACTGTGAACCATGGCTTCCTACCTTGATTAAACTCTGATTGAATTTTGCGGAGCGAGCAAACTGTTAATTAGAATGCCGTAATCCTTGTTGCCATAGCTACTGTCCATATGGAAATGCAATGCAGTACTGAAAGCATTAGTAGTGCCTAAGTGATGGGAGGTGTTTAAATCAGACATTTCTTGATCAATTTTTAATTTTCAATCAAAATGTACTTTGTATTTACACCGGAATATGTGTATGTGTTTTCCATAGGCACAACATTGAGGCCTTAAATTTAAACCCCAAACCTTTAAAATCAAAGTGAACAATTAAGATTTTACTGTATAGAGTACATTAGAGTTTGCAACCGGACTAACCGTGGCTTTAAATAGCATGTTTTAAACTCATGACATAGGTTAAAAGCACTATTTTAGCACAGTGTCATTGCAGAAGGCTCCCGCTTTGTACGGTTCCATCTGTCAAACTATCCTGTACTCAGGAATTGAGAAATTTAACCCCCTATGCCCTCGTTTTAATGTTTTGTCAACAACGTCACCATAGATCAACCATCGCGGCTTGCCATTTGTCTATAGTTCAGCCAGTATTTACTCAATTCCACCCCGGAAATTTGACCAACAATATCCATTATGCCCTGGACTGTTTCGTAAACTCAGAATCAAATATTATCATCTGGAAAACTTTACTGTAAACCTAGCTCAGTGTCAACTGGCTAGGCATCAAACTTGACCTTGTCTTTTTACGGACAACTTTTTTGCTTTGACAAACTCATTAACTTATCAACCAATGTAGATAAAGATAATTGAGTGACCTAGATTGTGTTATTGGCAGCTGTTTCAACAGAAGATTGATACAGAAGCGTGATTGTTATCAGACATGGGAGACAAAATCTACATTGTAATTTCTGTCTCAGGTCTGTCATTGGATGCTCCGATTACACACAGCCAGGGTTCGTTTTAGGGGGTCCTTTTGAGTTGATGCAGCATTGTTTGAGAAACAATACAAGGGCACTAGAAAAAAAGGGGAGGGGGCTTGTAAGTTTGTGTTGGTATAGATAAAACCATGGAGACAAAAACTCTTTTGACGTTTAGAATTATAGGTAGCATTTGATACAGTCTGGCACAGATTCAAGCTTCTTGAAACTGTTTTACTGTTCAATTTTAAGTCCACACTAGTATGATTTGTTGCTTCTTGGACTTTTGCAGGGTTAAACCTTGATACAATTGTAGCAAAACTGCAACAATTATGGAGATGAGGACTTTTTCAGATGTTCATGACAAAATTTTTGGGGCTAAGAATTAACCTGAATCATGATTTATTTTTTATTTTGGCATTTGAAATCAAATTGGTGCAACATCTGTGTCCAAAATATCACCAGGGTCCATAATATCACCACCTTTTAAAGATATTTTTACTGCAACATAATTTTGGTATGCACTCTTTCACACATCAAATGTACATACCTAGGGTATGTTGCAGTAAAAATATCTTTAAGCACACTATTTCTCAAGGTGGCGATATTATGGACCCTGGTGATATTATGGACACAGATGTTAGCTTTAAGAGCTTTTAAAAGGTTAAAGCCTCCCATGTCAGTGGAAAAAAGAGATACATGGTAAAAACTGTCAAACAAGAGTTATATCTGAGTGTTCGTACAAGTCCGTCATGCACTATTTCTGTAACTCCAACAAGTCATTAGTACAAAAAAAGCAACACTCTTCATAATGGCATTCTAACCTTACCCAAAGTCATGGAACAGCGATAAGTGTACAGCTATGAAACAGTTTCAAGGTGAACAGCAATGTGGTTTCCTTGGAGATATAGGGATTACATAACACGTCACGGGGTGATGGAATGTTTCTCACAATAAACGTTGCTTGCTTGTTGAGTGCACTTCTGTTGCCAAGCATCATGTTGGTGTCAAGTATTCTACTAGAAGTTTACTAACCCCTAGTAGTGAGGTTGGGGTTTAATTTTTTTAGAGCATGTTGCTTACTTGTATTTTTGTGACCATGGCCTTCACCTTTTTTGTCCCGCTTTATACAATTGGTTATTCAAACACACCTTTCTTTACCATCCATCCTTGGTTCCTATTGGTCGAGGGCTGGTCAGCGTGGGGTGGTTTAAAGGATTGTGTTCCTTACTGGGAGTGAAGTACCGGGGTCACGGTTGAGGGAATCTCGTTGTTCCCAACAAAACGTGTGATCGCTTTTCGTGGGTGTCCGGTGTGCGGCAGGCTTGTCGAAGCTTAGATCTGCAGACGTCGCGGGCAGATCTGTTTCAGTAAACAGGTGCCATGTCATGTAGTTGTGCGGGAAGTGCCGAAATTCAGATTTTAAGTGTATAAGATGTCAGCTGTGGCAGACTTGAAAGACAAGGAGTTGGAAAGGGTATGTAATTAGTAGTGTTAAAGCAATTAAGGCTAATTATCCTACATTTATATTGAAGTTGGATGCCAATGTTTTGTTGCTAATTATACGTAAAAATGATAGCAATGATTCTCTCATTTTGATAATTATGAAAATTAAAGATTGAAATTCAGTGATCAAATCCTTCCCAGAGATTAACTGGATTGCAAAAAGAAATCTAGAATGCTGGACAGAATGCCAACGCATATAATTTTACATTTATTATTTTGTGTTAGACAATAAGAGTATGATGGATTTATCTATGAAGTAAATTAACTTTGTCACAGTTTTTCACAAGCATCTGATGTTTTGCTCTTTTTTTCCAGCTGGTAGACCTACATGTGTACGTAGTACCTGGTGATGTGTGGGTAGAGCATCTACGTCTTGTCTACAATGAAGCTGTAAAAGACACTGTATCAGCTGGTTTTGTCAGGTAAGACATGTTTTCTTGTCTTATTTTAAGTGTGCACAGAAATTTGGTGTAATTCTATGGTAAAACCTGCACATGCATTTTCCTTTGTTTTGCAGTATTCAAATCATTTTATTGACAAATTTATTCTATAATTTGAAGAACTATTTTTTTAAACAGTCACTAAAATGCCATTGCTGTCTGTCCTTTTTTCCACCAATTACATGTAGTCTTGCATGAAATTTAGTTTGACTTCTGTGTTATTCCATTGTTTTCTTACCATTAGGAAGGTGTTAAGAAGTTTGGCGGGGGGTAGAGTGTTTACGAAAACGTGCACAGTTTGTTGTCGAGTTTTGAAGCTAGTTGCATTCAGTCCTAATCCAAAAGTCCACCGCAAAGTTTTGGCTTAGACTCCAGATTGGCATGTTTTCCAACAAGGAAAACAATTAACAACCAAACAAGTAAAAACAGCGAGCGATAAAGACGTAAATAACACGCCGGAGGATTACAGGAGATTACTGCGATGTGAAAATCGTTAATACCATGGCATCAGTTCCGGCTGCTGTCATTGACCCAATTGTTCAACTAGAACAAAACCGGGATGCCAGGCCTTTATCACAAGTTGACAATCCAGCCATAAAACTGTTTGATAAATTTGTAAATGAAAAGCTCACGTACAGACAAAGCCATTGTCAAACCATACAATTTGCCGTAAGGTTGCTGTAGAATGATGAAAAATGATGTAATTTTGAAGCAAGTGAATGGATGGCTGTTGATAAGTAAACGTACCAACCTTTAGCCTTGGAAACATACTATTCATACGTGACATTGTACAGTCATCATACAATACTTTTCTCTTTTGTTATTGGAGCATAATGGCCAACACTACTAAAAGGCAATACCAGTCCAGCATAGTGTGTTTTTCTTTTAAACATTAAAAGAAAGGCATTATCAAGATATACGTGTAACATCTGTGTCCATAATATCACCAGGGTCCATAATATCACCACCTTGAGAAATAGTGTGCTTAATTAAAGATATTTTTACTGCAACATACCCTAGGTATGATTTGATGTGTGAAGGAGTGCGTACCAAAAGTATGTTGCAGTAAAAATATCTTTAAGCACACTGTTTCTCAGGGTGGCGATATTATGGACTCTGGTGATATTATGGACACAAATGCTAAATCTAAAAAAAAAGGAAGTTCTGCATTCCTGAAATCAAATGAAGAAAAAAAAACCTTTAGGTATAGAGCGATCTGGATGTACATTACAGTGAAATTCTTGCTCTGAATTATTAGTTATGGATAATTTTTTTCTCTTTTTTTTCAGAGTATTTCCTGATGTCACTATCTACAACCTTCGGGAAGAGATCGAGGAACAGCTAGGCTATGATGTCATTCCTAAAGACTTCATCTTCCTCAGAGGAGTGGGTCGAGCACTGACACAGGTTGGTAAAATATCCAAAAATGTAATAATCCAAACATTTTCATCCAGTCTATGATACTATAGACACATATATATGCTGTCCCTACACTTCTGGTATAAAGATTTGACATAGATTTGCCATAATATACTTAGTACATGGATACAAAAAGAAAAACTTACTAGTGAAGCTTACTGTAAGTGTTTACAGCAGTTTATTTTTGAAATGACCTCCTAAGGCCACACCAATTTAATTTGTTGTTTCTCAGATTCGCCCTGTCCATTTCTTTTCTGATTTGCAAAAAAAAAAAAAATTGGTTCTGAATCAACTGCAAAATGCTGAATGAAAGATATATTTTGGCACCAATGGTTGAAGAAAGTCTTTCAATGCAACTTTGTTTCATTAAAAGTTTAAAATCTATTGTTTTAATTATAAACCAGCCTGGTATGTTGACTTCATGGCTCATATTGTAACATTTCTGTCCTTCATGGGGTGCCTTGGTCTCTTTCTTTTTGCCCTATCACTTCATATTTTTTCTGAAAAATTCCAAGAAACAACAAATTAGATTGGTGTGGCCTAACTACAGATTCATGACACCACAAATATGCATTCTCAAATTGTATTCCTCTGTATCTGCACTACAAACTTGATAAACCTTGAATATCACCTTCACCCATTTATTTTGAAATTAGTCCCCACAAAAATAAATGCATCTACTGTACTAGGGAACTAAATAGAAGGCAGGCAGCTTGACAAGTTGGACATAGCAACTTAATCCCCCAAAGCTATAAAAGTCTTTCAACCACTGAAGCCACTAACACATTACCAGGCAGTTGCCCCTCCCCCAAAGTCAATGTTTGTACAAGCCTAATCACCCATGTAATGTGGCACAGCAGGGAGCTGGCTATCAGCACTATAGGGACCAAACCCTGGAACAAATGGCCAGCTACTGGTCTTTGAATGTTTCCAGATGTCACAGGCTTGCTACTTGTAAAGACTATGCCCTCAGCAGTTTCTTTCCTTGATTTTCTAGCAATACAGGGACCAAACCCTGGAACAAATGACCAGCTACTGGTCTTTGAATGCTTCCAGATGTCACAGGCTTGCTACTTGTAAAGACTATGCCCTCAGCAGTTTCTTTCCTTGATTTTCTAGCAATACAGGGACCAAACCCTGGAACAAATTACCAGTTACTAAAATTTGAATGTTTCCAGATGTCAGATTCTTGCTACTTGTAAAGACTATGCCCTCAGCGTGTTTCTTTCCTTGATTTTCTAGAGCATTTTAAAGTGAAGTGAATATTTTTTTTTTCATGTTAAAACATGAAAACAGAGGAATACTAGGAAAACTTGAGGTGGGCTGTATTACTGTAACTTTCAAACTTCCTCCCAAGATTCTCTTTCTTTCAACATTATCTTTTTAGTCCAACAGCCAAGAACTTCTATTGGTGTGAAGTCACTGAATTCTGATGACCTTTTCAAGTTTTAAATGTCCTTATTTTTCAACAATACTAAACATTGTCTTGAAAGTAAATGCAAACTCAAGGAATGAAGCAATTTTACTCCTAAAAGTGCACAGCAACCGCAGTTTGTGGCCACCGGTTCCACTTGAAACACTGGAAACTATAAAGGGTGTGGTATATTTTGTGACAAACAGTTTAAGGGTACCATTAAAGCTGTAGAAATGATGTTGTAAAGTATCTGTGCGTGATGAACACAGTGTATTCCCAAATGGTAGCCATAGCTTTTCTACTGTTTGTTTATTCAGGCTGCAATAGAACGACAGTGTTTCCATTGTTTGGCTATCATCAAAGGCAGCGTACATTGTAATTTTCTCATCACATGAAAAGGTCGCAATCTATCTTCATTAAATCTCTCTCTGTCCATTTACGCACGGACCACGGACCCAAATTAGTCACGTTTAGGGCAGAAACTGGTTGGGTTTTTATTGCGGCATGCTGGCAATAAAGATCTAATTTAGGACAATTCTAAACTTCTAACACAGTAATGCAATGTTGAATATAAGCACTGCCCCCCTCCCCATCTTAATGTAGATGTTGGAGTGAATTTTTTATGCACTTCTCTTGTTTTGTTAGTTTGTAGAAAACTGTAAAACATATCTGAAAAAAAACCTCTTAACACAGTGTTTCTTTTGTGATTCCAATTCACAATTTAATCAATGAAACCCATCAGAATATCAACAGTTACTGATTTTTAATCAAAATGATGCTTTTGAAATAGTTGTATTTTTCTATCGCTTGTACAGTATGAATGCATGGCTTTGAGAGCTTTTTTGGATCATGTCCATGTACTGTAGTTTCAATATAACAACATCAATACTGTGTATTTTGTAATCATAGTCTGCTATTTGATCTACCAACTCGCCACAATTCAAAAGTATAACTTTTGAACAAAATGACCATATGTGGCTGGATCCTGAAGTTCAATGTCACTACCTATTATTCTTCCACCTTTGCTAAGATATTTCGAGGTACATAAGCTCAAATCTGTCATGACAAGATGAAAACTGAAGGTAGTGGTTTGCTTTCCGAAGTAAATATTTGTGTGCCCTAACGACAATAACACAACAGGTTGTCCAATGTGTCACTGTCACTCAGATCACGAGGAACGCAACCCGAAACCACGCACAGAAATAGTAGAGGACCTTAAAAACCAATTTGTACACATTTCAAGACAGTATAATTGAATTAACATTGAGTTCAAAGACCGAAATTAAAGTTTAAGTGTAAGGTTGAAGTATGGTGCAGAATGCTGTGTTCACAGATGGCTGCTACCGCAGCGTCGAACAATAGACTGTTTACGTCGATGTATTGGCAGTCGTTGTGGAGACAAAGAGAGTTTAGAGTATCACGGTTGCATGACGCATGCCTAAGTACTCTCTAGCGATGAAAGAAACATGCAAGCTTTGACAGCAGTCAAAACGTTTTGAAGTGTTCTGGGTCAATTTGACAGTCAAGCCATGTATGGAAAATATCGTGTCGGAAAGTTTTGTTCAGGATATGCTTGTTGGAAACGAGTTGGAAGCGAGAAAAAAGGAAGAAAAGGAGTTGGATGCTTTTATTAGCCAGGGTCTTGCAGGGGTCATAGGAAATTTACAATAAAGTTTTATCTAAGCGGAGGTAATTTGATCAGCCCAACGTCGGCCTTGGTTGAAGGGGTTGTCAGAGACTGCATGTGTGATGCAGGCAACGCTAAACAACAGAAGATTACACAAAAGAAGGGCGGCTGGATTTAGACAATGAACAAGTCAATCATAAATGTACATGGGGGATCAAGTCAGGGTATAGGATAACTTCTGTTGTTGAATTTCTTTAATTCAGTTTTGAACTTGAGCAACTTTGGGCAAAATTACATTTTCAGCATGACTTGTAAAATTAGACTAAAAGTATCACATGTCACTTTGATTTACTAGTACCCAATATTTATCTCAGTCGCTAAACTCAATACACAGTACAAAAAAATCTGTCCAACATAAGTGCTATAACCATGTAAGTTAACATTTGTTGGTATATATGTATGTGTTGATATTTAAATTATACAATAAAAATTAATATAATTATTATAATATAATTATGTTTTGTTGTTTTCAGGTCAAAGGCAGACAAGAATTCCAATTGAAAGTCAAGAACTTTGTGCCTCCTTTGGTAAGTTTTGAATATTTTCAATATCTTCTTGAAAAAAAGTTCTCTTTAAATTCAACTTCCATATGAACACTTAGTGAAGGCACGTCATTTCAAACTTCATACTGAAAGTAAAAACACTGTCATGGTTTTAAATGCAGATGTCTAATAGGTTATATAAAGTATATTGGATCCTTGATATAGGCAACAGCTTGCTTGCTAATATCCTTCAGCAGTGCTTAGAAAACCTGTCAGAACTCCTGACAGTCTCTTTCATTAGTCTTCTCAGGCATTTGTCTGAGAAGCAAATTTGAGCATAGAAGTCAACATGTATTTCCAGTCCAGTGCACACAACGCTAAAGTTTCCTCACAGACAACAGGTGCAAAACTGAAGTAGGTCACCTGTGCATTTCTGTCTGGGTGTAGCAGGCCACAATCTACCCCTGGCCAGAATATACATTTGTATCTATAGGGGTAGATTCTGACTAGGGGTATGTTCTGGTCTGTTACACTGGGTATACATGTAGCTACATACTGTGAGCCTCTTTAGTTTAAGAATTCTTTATATTCTTAAGTTTTATTTTCAGTTTGCATTTGGTTTTTGCCTTTTGCCATTCATGGTAGTATAGGCTAGAGGTAATTCAGTATAAATGGAGTACAAAAAAACATAAAAAAAGATTGTCTGAAGATTTTTTAAAAATTGGACTGTACATTCAGTAAAGGGCACCAGGTATTCTTGACTCAGTCTCAAGAGAATGTTGAAGTGTTTGCCAGACTCTTATTCTTTCTGTACAAACCCTCCTTTTTTTCTACCAAGAAGAACAGCAAACAAATTGAGCACCATACAGCCCTCCTACTCAGAGCAATTGGCATTCACAGCAATGCTTCTAATGCTTTCAAATCCCGGCTGAATTTGAGGGGAAAGTTCCTACGACTGGGGCTAGTGTGGGTACTTACCAATGAGCAAACATGTTTAAGGTCGCAGAACACAGTAATTATCCGCGACCCCCGGAGTCTATGACGCAGGTATAGAAAGTAGTGCAGACAAACCTCTTGCATCCTGGCTAAAGCGACTTATGTGAGAGACAGCCATGAATGAACTGCACTGTGTGGTAAGGAAAGGTATCGGCTTGTACACAGTATGAGTTGGATTGTGAAGATTTCCCTGTTCGTGTATAAATGCCGTGCATTACGCAACCACGTTCCATGGTGAGCCGGCTGCAGTTCCGTTGACCCCGGTATAGGGCCAAATCAAAGTGGTCGTCATTATTTTGAAAACGATAACTTTTTTTGGTTTTCAGTTATTTTGTAGAATATACCGTATATTTCAACATATTAGTTGGCCGTGATTCAATAGTGCACCCTACTATAATTGTTACCGCATCGAAGTGAGTCACCTCGGGGTGCTTAACTATTATAGGAATCCCCATAGGCCGAAAACTGTGTTCTGCTACGGTAACCTTAACACAGCTGTACAACCAATCTGGATTTTTAGTACTTCATGTGTTGAAGTGTTTGGAGACAATTTGTGCTTAGTGCAGACACAATGCACACAACATGTCTCTCTCTGTATACTAGAAGCATGCATTTATGATTACCGATATGCATTATTAATGTACGGTTAATTTTGATAAAATAATTATTTTTGTCTTTCCAATGGTTCTATAAAAATGTATTTTTTTGAGTGGTGACAGTGAACAGCAATGCCAGCTCTCTTAATAGTTATTGAGTACTCCTTCAAAATGTCTTTTGAAAACACCAGTCTTGAATATGTAATAAAGTATTCATTTGGGAAAGATTATGATATAGTTAACACACACCACTACCAGTGGACTAGTCTCCAACTGTATATAGTGATTGTGCTACTGTGTGGCCCAAGGGCTATTGAAATGGTGATTTGGTGCCGCCCTATGAACCACCTGGTGTAGGAAGAACTTTGCCTGTTAAGATCATCTTGTACATTTGTACATCTTGCCAATCTGGGTTACTGAGTATTTATCTTATCATGAAAGTTCATCTGTGTTGGTAGTTTGTTTAGAGTTAAAACTTTACATCCAATACAAAAAGTTCTCTTACCTAGAGCTTTCGACCAGTCACTCTGGTCTTCCTCAGTAGACTGACCCAGTGATTTTGGACACTGAACAAGACTATTTCCTGAGGGATTAAGGAGGCTATATACATTTGTACATCAAGGCCCTTCACTGAACCGCGACAGGGGCTGACATTGTCTACCAGATACTTTTGACCCAGTGTTGACGTCACACTTCAAAGAAACCACATGACAAGTCTCATTGGGTCAGTCTACTGAGGAAGACCAGAGTGACTGGTCAAAAGTTCTAGATTAGAGAATCATCTAAAGTTTTAACTCTAAATGAGTATTTATTTTGTTACATAGGCTGTGGTACCCGAAATCTACGTAATCGAGGGAAGCCTAGTTCATCAGTCTCCGCGTGCCCTCCCTGCCATTGGTCATCGGTACTCGGAACCTGCCACGTCCAGATCCACTGCTTCGGACAATCCGCTTGACCGCTCGCAGGTCTTCTCTGACCCTCCGCCAGGAAGGGGGTCACGTTCACAAAGGCGGAAAGACTTTGAACATCTCCGAAATAGTGATGAGTTTGATTCCCAAAGGACGGACCACGATAGATTAGGAAACAAAGGTCGGCGGAGAGAAGACCATCGGGAGGCTTTTGTCACACAAGCTGATGCTGCAAGTAAGATCATTCTAGAGATTGTACAGTCATATTACTTACATGTATATTAGGTATATTCCACAATGTCTCCAGGCCTTTATCGTAACACTTATACTCCCTTTCAAGTACATGTAGAGGCTGCAACTGTGCATTCTAAAGGACCAAAAATTTCAATATATAGACCACTGAAGGAGTTTTATCACATTCGGTTTTCTTTTGAATCATACTAAAACATTGTGCATAAAAACACTAAAATTTAGCACAGAATTACATCAAATTCACGTTTAAGTTTGCAGCACTAAAATTTTGCGGCACAATGAAATGCTTGTCTGTACCTTGATTTACTAACACTTTTGTGGTCTGTTTTTACTTGTTATATTTACCGTTTCCCAACTTGGTTCTTGTCCTACAGAGCTGTTATCAACTAATTTGGACCAAACGGCCTTTTCCCCTGAAAACGATGATACGAGCTCCTCACCGCGGAATCTTAAGGACTCGGGTTACAACACGACTCCTCGCGATAGCCAGGAGTACCATGAAAACATCCCCAAACGTCGATCTGAGGGGAGCCCTCACGGCAGAACACGCTCTCGCTCCCCTCCCTCTCCTTCCCCTGAACGAACCTCTCATCCCCAAACCCGACCCCAGTCCCGTAGTACCCCCCTTAGCGCCACCCCCCCTGCCTCTCCTTTAACCTCTAACCCCTCCCCAGGGCAGAAGGTCCACAAACTCGACCGGAGCCGAGCGGGTAGTAGAGCCGCCACTTACACCTCCCAAACCAACGAGGATTCTGGGATAGCTGATTCCACGCCTCCAGAGGATGACAGTAGAACGTTAGACAGGTATGTATTATGATGTAATTAGACTGATCCCAAAGCCCCTTCCACTTTGTCAAAATGTAGAGGTGCAAAACAAATAAGAACATTTAGTAGAAATTCTTCGATCAGTGACTGAGTGTATTTTTGTAAGGTATACATACCTCCAAATTTTCGATGTCCACTGTACTCGACTGTGTGTACTCTACGTGACTGATGAACCTCTTCAACGAAAATAAGAACATTTAACTGCAAAACACATAAATGCAAATGACATACAGCCACAGTCTCATTGGTTGAACAGCTTAAATTAGGTTGGACAGCCAGGATCAGTACATATTCTCTTCTCAACAAGTTCTACGGGACATACAGTAACTACATATTTTTTTGCATAGTGTGCCATATCAAAAAGGGTCCGCACATCCATTTATGAAGAGCATAATCAGTTGTACTAACTTGTACTTGATGACTTTGATACAATCATCACTTAAAAGTTTTTAAAGAAGGTTTTTTTTATTTCCCTATAATAAGAGCCACTTCTTAATTGAAAATGACAAAATGATGACAATTTTGTCAACAGGAGAAAAAGGGAGGAAGAAAGGCAGAGAAGAGAGGCTGAAGAGAGAAGAAGGGAGGAAGAAGAGAGAAGAGAAGAAGAAGAAAGAAGACGGCGAGAGGAAGAGGAGGAAAGATGGAGAAGACAAAGGGTACGAGAAGATGATGAACAGTCTGAAACTGGGGGTGGGAGGGGGAGGAGGGGGTATGACGATTATGATGATGACCAATCAGATGAAAGATCACAGTCAGAGAGAAGTGATTGGGAGGGGGGGCAGACTCAGGACACGTTTAGCTTTAGATGGCCTGAACCGCCGGGAGGTGGTAACAAAGTCGAGGAAAACTTCATAGGGGACGATCTGTTAGCTTCTTTTGCTGCAGCTAGAGAGGAACAGAAGCAACGGAGGCAAGAACAGGAGAAAGAGCTCAGGTCAAGTCAGGAGGACCAACCAGAGGGGCAGGTCATGCAGAGGGTTTTTGGTGTAGGGAAAGGGGAAGAGAAGTATAATAACAAGGAGTACGCCTGGGATAATAGAACAGGAGGTGATAGGAGTAGCGAGAGGGGCAGTTTTGAGGAAGGAACGACAGGCAGTTATGGTGGAGACGATGGTGATCACGTAGACAGGCGTAGTCAGAAAGGAAGGGTAGACAGTTACCATGGTGATGATCAAAGCTACAGAACTGGGGAGGGGAAGACAGGCAGTTACCACGGTGATGAGGAAAGCTACAGAGGTAGGGATGGGATGAGTGACAGTTACCGTAGCAACAACAGCAACAAAGATGGCGGACATGTTGAGGATGATGATGATGATGCATGGCCTGGAGAAAGGGACCAGGAGGAACATGGAAACCGATCTCGGCGGGCTTCTGAAGGGACCTCTCTAAGAGAGTCGGCAAGAAACCAATCGTCGAGTCTCGTGCACTCGGATAGAGAGAGCGGGGGACATGATAGAGCGTCGACAGAAGAGAACAGCCCTGGAGGGTCACCGACAAAGGTGGCGATCCTTTGGGTGGCGTGGGCCTAACAACCTCCGAGTGCAGTGGGCGCTAACCAACCAACCTACCAACCAACCAACTAACTCACTCAGTTCACTCTGGGGTAACAAGGAAGAACTAACTTACCTGCCTAACACACATTACTAATACGGCTTTGACATGAAAAAGGGCTTGTTGGAAAGAAGTCCTTAAAACTCACAACTCACTTTGGTGACATGCTATTTAAGTTTTAAGTTGATGCACTAAATAACATAAGTGATGGGCTATGATTTATCATATACTATATGATCATTGCAGTAACCTGTCATGTTATTTGCTAAATTGCTGTGGGTTCTAACTGTGGACTTGTATGTAGAAGTCCTGCATGGCCAGAAATGTAATACATGTACAAACATATCGGAAAGCTTAATAAAAAGCAAAATCAGGTAGGTACCTAGATGTAACATCCGTGTCCATAATATCACCAGAGTCCATAATATCACCACCTTGAGAAATAGTGTGCTTTAAGATATTTTTACTGCAACATACATTTGGTATGCACTCCTGCACACCTCAAATGTACATACCTAGGGGTTCCACCTAGGGTATGTTGCAGTAAAAATATCTTTAAGCACACTTTTTCTCAAGGTGGCAATATTATGGACTATGGTGATATTATGGACACGGATGTTAAATGTTCATAGAATTGACATCTGAAAATGTACACCTAGTAATAATTATTATTCATTTAATTGTAAATTTTTCTCCTCCCAGTAACTTTTCATTATTAAGTATGAAATCATTGTTAACTTTTTTTAAGGCAAATTACTAGTCTAAGACTAAAACACTCATTTCTGGCCATGTTTTCATAGTTCAACATCTATGTGTCTAATTTACTTGATTGTATATGGTTGCATGTCTGGGCCCTATTACATTATTGACATCATGGTGTAAGAATCCTTTTACCAATCACTGCACTTGGGTACAAAACTACATGTAGATATGAGTTTGTACTTTGCCTCTGCACCCATTTCACTCATGCCCATACTGCAGTAGCCATTCTCTGAATCAAACGGTTTGTGGTGTGTGCCATTGTTGGACTGAGCACATATACAACTGTTTTTCAGAATCCATAAATTATAATGATACTTTTATACTTCATGAGCAAGGATATGCCACACTATCAGGTCAAAAAAGTAATGCACTTTGTTTTCTTCCTTTTTTATTTACTTCATCTTGGGTATCTATTTCATCAGAAATGTTTTGGTGCACATTTTATATCATCCAGCTTTTTACTTTATTTCCTATTCCTGGGAAATTATGATCTTTGCCATATGTGCTATGTTTTCATCGTGTGTTAATAATATGCAGAATTTGTGGCCTAGAATAATGAAATAGGGCCTAGGCTGTAATTTATACAATTATTAAATTACTGCATATGCCATAGGATAGAGTATAAACAATGCTTTAGAGTTTTGTCTTGTGAGTTTTCATAACATTATTCTACCTTTTTAAGTTATTAGTTTAAACAACTTTAAAAAATTCTTATTGTTATTCCATGGACTAGCCCTTAAAGGCCTTTCCTTTTCTACTCTTCTGAGTAGGACTGTAATGTAATGAAGTTTTGTTTTAATTTCTGTTTAATGGTAAAATCTTTTGCTTTTTACTTACTTTTTTACTTTATCACTTCTTATTAACCATGCTTCTGCCGCAACCTTTTCAAGTGACCAAGATTTTTCTTCATCAACAGGAGAAGGAAGCCCAGAGTAAAAGGGAGAGATCGAGAAGTAAGTCCCCTGAGCAGCAGGTGGCCAGGTTCCCCTCCCCACCCCCCCTCGAGCTCCCCTCCCCTCGGGACGGTGGCAGGACGGACAGATCTCAGGCCTCCGACTCACCCAAGAAGTCCACCAGGGGCAGGGACAAGGCAAGGTCATCCGGAGCAAGTGGCGAACGTAAGGAAAATATTATTTAACTAGAAAGGCTGACATTTGCTCCAAGCAAATGCAGCAAATGGCTTCATCACATCCCCCGTACCAAAAATGGATTTTTTCCCACAATGGTAAAGTGCTAATAGTTATACCCCCATGCAGCATTGGAATCTTCCAATGCCTTCTGTTGGAACATGTAGAAGCAGTGTTCTAGAAACAGTGTTCTATTTAGAACTGTCGATTGGGGATTTGGGTTTTCAAGCTACAATTGCTGTTTTTACTGAAAGGAGTAATTTTGCTTCTTTGATGATTCATTTTAGACTAAAGACCCAGTCACATACACCATACACTGAAATTATAACGTGTGTGATTCACCTTTAGAGTCTAAAATCACAAACTAAAGACATTGTACATGTGACCTAATGCTTAGCTGAAAATGCAATCCAATGTGACCTAATGCTTAATATAATAGCTGAAAAAGCAAAAATATTACACAATAGTACAATGCACTACTACATAGTTACTAAAAAAAGCATTCTGTAACCTTAAATTGTCTTGATGAAACAGTGCACATTTGTACTAGAAAAATACCATCATTGAGTGTTATAACAATAGTACTGAATGTTATTTGTAGGTGAGGATCTGCTAGAAGAGCTGGAGAGAATACGGGAGGAGCGAAAGAACGCCGAGAAGAAAAGAGAGGAAATGGTGAAGAAGGCCAAACAGCTGCAGACTAAAACACAGCACCGCAGGAATCAAGGTAGGCAGTCATGCAAAAATGTCAAGTACAATCAAAAGTTTTGCTTTAAGGCCACACCAATTTAATTTCTTTGTGAACGGATTTTTCTAGAAAAATAATAGAGTGTGCGGGCAAAAAAAAAATAAAATAAAAACAGGCCTAGGCATCCTATTATGGCCCAAAATGGTATGATAGGAGCCATGAAGTCAACACACCAGGCTGGTTCAAAATTTAAACAAAGAATTTTGAACTTGTAATGACACCACTGCATTGAAAGTTGGAATAACTGTAACAACTGTAAGAAGGGGACTGTTTTCAACTGTTCAGGGCAAAATATGAGCATTTTGCAGTTGATTCTTTGAATTTGAATTTTTTTTGGCAAATTAAAAAAAAATGAAGCGGGCGAATCCGAGAAGCAACAAATTAAATTGGTGTGGCCTGATTATGGTCAGAAAGTCATTATCTTTACCATTCTTAGACAACTGCACCAAAGGGATGGCCCTTCAGCACTGTTCACTGTTCTTAAAGCATGTTTCAGCACCAAGGAGAGAACCTGTTATACATGTAACGCTACCATTATTAGTCATTATGCCATTCTCATCATCCTGCTTGGTAACCTAAGACCCCCACATTAAAAAATGGTGAATTTGAAAAGATCCAAATGCAGACTCAGTAACCCCCAAGAAATGAAAACTTCAGATAGCATTTATTGTTTAGTTGACATACATTTGGCATACTCTTAAACCTTTGACTTAGCAAGTCAAGTATACAGTTTTCGTCTAATCATCATTCTATCAAGTTTCTTGCAGTGTAATAAATATAGATGTGTTCTAAACTAGAAAGGTAACATTTACAAAGCAAATGCATGATGTACATGTATACCTTTGCATATAGTCTGCTCTGTTAATTCTTACCCAACCACATTCATAAATGATCAGACAGGAGTCTAAATCCCTCTTGCTATAAAGTCGCAACACTAGTTACCACGGTGACAGACATCTGGTACAGGTCATTGACCTCATTGGTTTGGAGAAGAAGGAAACAGAGCAAATACAATATGTTTTCCTTTGCTAAACATAATAAATGTCATTAATGTTTTCCCCTTTAGCGCGAGACATATGGAAGAAACGTTACTTCGAGGAGAAGAAGAAGACTGGTCCGTTGGAAGAGAACTGTAACCGTCTGAGGGCAGAGCTGGACATGACCCACAGGAAACTCATGTCCAAGTTAGAGGGAGACAAGGACGGGAAACGTCGCTTCAACCTGAACACGGATCCACCCTCCTCTAAGGTACCTCCATCCTACAAGGTATATAGTTGACTGCTTCTTATTATTTAGTAATCGAAAAAACTTTTAAAAATGTTAACGTTCCACTACTAAAAAAATGTTAACATTCCACTACTAAAAAAATGTTAACATTCCACTACTAAAAAACTGTTAACATTCCACTACTAAGAAAATGTTAACATTCCACTACTAAGAAAATGTTAACATTCCACTACTAAGAAAATGTTAACATTCCACTACTAAAAAAATGTTAACATTCCACTACTAAGAAAATGTTAACATTCCACTACTAAGAAAATGTTAACATTCCACTACTAAAAAAATGTTAACATTCCACTACTCAAAAAATGTTAACATTCCACTACTAAAAAATGTTAACATTCCACTACTAAAAAAATGTTAACATTCCACTACATAGTATTATATCGTGTTAACACAGTTAATACATTCCTGTCAAACTCATATCACATCCTACCACCCTGTTAATCAACTGAAATCCAATCTCTTCCCACTCACTTGAATCCTACCTCTCTCAGAAAAAACGTACCCCCCCCCCCAAACAAGCACCACCAAGTGAATACAATTAAGCCTACCCACTTTACATAATGTACTACCTTTTATGATGTACATTGTATAATGATTTGATGTCTTTTTATTGCTTATATAGAACAACCAGAAGGTACAACTGACTAGAATTCAGCACGAGTTGGATGACTTAAAGGAGAAGGTGGAGAATGCAAAGATGAAGCTTACGTCGGAAATGAAGGTACGGAATAGTAGAAAGTGAGAGAACAAATTTAGGATCGGGAATCCATCTTAATTTTCAAGTCAGCAGATAAAAATCAAGAAAAATGGAAGTGATCTTAAGCCAATTATCGCACTGGAGAGTTTACTCTTCCACTGGTTGTGACAGAGAAGACAGAAGCTTTGCACAGTATACACAGTGGGTACATTGTAATAGAAAAATTCCCCTAGCTGACTTTTTCACAAGCACAATGAGCAGTAGACCACAGCTTATTGTCCTGTCCTTATTGAAAAACTGTAACCCTTTCTAGTAGCTTGCATGTTGGGTGAGTGAATATAATGTACATGTCTACTATTCCCAAGACATTACCATTGGACTAGCCTCCTGCTGTAGTGGTACATGTAAGTTCTCAGCTGTGTGGCCCAAGGGCTTTAGAAACAAATTATAACAGAGCGATGACCACCACCTTATCACTGAAATGTGTTGGAAGGAATTCTAACTTTAGGCCAGACCAATTAAATTTGTTGGTTCACAGATCCGCCAGCTTTGTTAATTTCTGATTTGCAGAAAAAAAACAACAACATTTCAGCCTCTGAATCAACTCCTAAATGCTTACATTTTGGCCCCAAACAGTTGAAGGAAGTCCCTTCTCTTTAGAGTTGTCACAGTTTTTCCATCTATCAATGCAGTGGTTTGATAAATGTTTGAAATTCATCATTTACATTTCAAACCAGCCTGGTATGTTGATTTCATGGCTCCTATCATTGCATTTGTGGCTATCATAGGATACCTATATATATAGGCCTGTTTTTATTTTTTTTTGCCCTGTCACTTGATATTTCTTCCTGAAAAAATCCGAGAACCATCAAATTAAATTGGTGTGGCCTTAAGTTAAATTATAAAGATAAATACTATAACCATTAATGATATTCTCCTTGTCTGACATTTGTTTAGCTGCGGAATCAAGCGGAGACGGAACTGCGAGCTCTCCGTGCCGAGCTGACGCAGAAAAAGATCCACGCGGCCCTGACGCGCAACCAACACAGCAACATCATGCACACCATGGACAAGGTGCAACCTGGGTATATGCCGGCCAAGGTTCTGCCGCCAACATGACATAAATACACAACATTGACACCAGACCACCCATAGGACACCACATCAATGTTTTCTGCAATCTATGGCTTTCTATTTGATCATCAGCCATTTCTGTTCAGCACGTCGGCAGAACGTACTGCACTTGCGCAAAACCCGTAATGTATTGCGCATAGCACTTTGGCAGAACGTCTCATATAAGGTCGTATTTGCGCATACAAGGTTAGCATCCCGTCTGTAGATTTCAAATGTTATGTCGGAAAAAATTTTGTCTGTAACAGGCAAAATTCTGATGCAAACATGCAACAAAAAACGTGAAAAATGCATATATGGGGGCGGGTGGGGTCCGCCGGCGCAGTACGTTCTGCCGACGTGCTTTTCTGTTCAGAGCTAAATTCATTAGCGCTATGAGACTTTTTTTCTGATCCATATTTAACTTTGTCCAAATATCTAAAGCCTTAAGCATGACAAAAGGAAACAATTGCCACTCAGAGCAAAAACATGTCGGAGTTTTAATAAAACCACAACCAAAACAGATAACAGCCAGCCATAATTCTTGAAGTATTCTCTTCTAAATGTCTTTGCCACAAAGTTTGTTTCTCTTTCCATTTTCTTTCAATAGCAATTACTTTGAATGTGGAGTCAATTTTGTGTACAATGTATATCCTACATATGTTTGTGAATTTGTATTTAGAAACTATTAGTAAAATTTATGCTCTAATTGTTCATGTATATTGAGTAGAAGGAATATGCATTGGTACGTAGGTTTGTACAGTATACTGTATGCCAACATTATAATTTTTCACTCGTTTTGACAAAAATGTATTGTTGCAATTCTGAACATTTATTCCTGGCTTGTATGTACCTGAATAGAATGTAGGAGCAAGCGTATTTATATTCTGTTTTTAAGGTTTGCAAGCAGCATAAACACATTGTTACAAACATGTTATATTCAATGGCATGTCCCACATGTATCAATGAGGCCACCTAGTGCCTGGAGTGTAAACTACAGCTTATACATTTGGCATTTTACATAACTGTTGAAAGTCGTGTCTGTAAAGAGTTTGCAGCTTTATGCATGTATCATAATTGCCATGTTATATCATACATAAGTGTGAACATTTTTGCATCAAAATTTGAGATTTTGTGAAAAAAATGTATGTAAACATTTGTATTTTGTTGTACATAAGAGTTGCATTTGGGGATAGAATTCTTGATATGACTGACTCTTCTACATCATATATATTAAATGAATAAACTATGTTTGACTCTAATTGTTGTGCCTGTGTTTTATTTACTTTGGCCACAGCCAGTAATTTTTATGGATGACATCAGCGCGCATTAATTTTTGCCTGATTTTGGAAAAAAAAAGAAATTTTGTCGCCTTCTGACAGTGGTCAACATGTCAAAAATTTGCAAAGATGTCTGTTGCCATGCTGGAAGGCAGATAACTATGAAGAGAGTAGACAAGAAAAGGCTCTGATTTAATGTCTTGTTTCTTACTTTGATGCAGTGATATGTGATGTTGGCTGTGTACATGTATATGTTCCCAATGAATCAAAACCATTTGTACAATGATTGAGTCAAAAATTTAAAATGTGGGAACCTTGTTTTTTTTCCCACTCGCATTAGATTTGGAGTCTGCGGAGGATGTCATGCATAAAATTTACTTGCTGTGGCCTTAATCAAATATAACAGTTATATATACAATGTAAATCTACTAAAGCTATCAGCAAACAATTGGACACAACCACAAACTTATCACAGCTCTCTTTCATATACTGCAGTCCTTACAAAATGTATGAAGATTTCAAACGTTTGGCATTAGTTTCTGAAAACACCCTACCAACACGATGCACTATTGACTACATGATTTGATTATATGGATGACATCCGCGCGCGCATGAATTTTCGGCCGTTTCCAAAAAGAAAAAAGTTTTCAACCATACTGTAAATCGTACAAAACAGTTGCAAAATGAGCAAAAAGATACCATAAGTTACAAAAAAAAATTAATGAAAACTATACCAACGTCGTAGAATGCCAAAATCAAACGAAAAAAGACGAAATTATAAAGAAATGAACTTGAAGACTAGTTTATTCGCCAAACCATATTCTGTGCCATTTGCTCAACCCTCATGACCACGTAGATTTCATAATGAAAAGAACTTTTTTTTTGCAAAACTTTTTTTTATTCGCACGCGCGCATCAGTTTTGAGGCTCCCGGAGGATGTCATCCATATAATCAAATCAACATGGCCTTACCATAGTAACCATACAGCTCAACAGCGTCGCCTTGGTGTACATTCGCAAACTGCAGTAGTGCCACAGTTTTCAAAAACCCTATAGGAGCCATTCTTGAACCTAGCCGTCACGTACGCATCACGATTACTATGGAGTTTTACTCATCCGTGAATAGTTTCATCAGGTTAGTAAGTTTCTGAGTGAAGAGACTCTTTCTATACGCTGTACGTTTATACGCTGAACCACACTATACCCCTGTACGTTTGGGACCGCATTGTAGATACAGTTCCGCCTGTAACAACGGATATATGTAAATATGTAAATTTTTCACGTTTGGGACTGTATCTATAGAAGCGACACATGTGTTTAATGCAGTGCAATGTGAACCAGTCAGAATTGCCCTGAGGAAGGAGAAAGATGGTCACCGAAACGTCGGCTGTGAATAAAACACTTTTGTGTAAAAAGAGTCTCTTTACTCAGAAGTTTTAGTCAATAGAAGAGAAAGGTCGCTTACTGGCCTTACTCGTCGAGAAAAACTGACAACACATCACTAGTACTGATCCACACAGCCTCTAGTACCCTGGTTGGCAAACTAGTATCGGGCCGCTAGCCGTTTTCTTCGGCAGCAAGAGCCCTTCCCCCGACTATCGGGGGGACGTTGAGCCCGAGGGGTTTGTCCGGCCCTAGGCCAGCCAAACTCCCCCGGGCTAGTCTCCCCGTAGCGGTAATTTAGACCCGCTGGCGAAGGGCTCTTGGCTGCCGAAGGAAATTGCTAGCGGCCCGAAACGAGTTTGACATCCAGGGTACCCAGCCTCAACTCACGCCATGGACACACGGAGCAGCCCAAACTCTATCAACCTCAGACTCTCCATGTAGTAGGTCCACGGGTTCCACGTGGCAGCGCCAGAAGCTCTTATAGCACTGTTATGATACACGCCGTTCGGATTACATTGGCCGCAGTCTTTAAACCACCAACCTGCCCGCAAGAACACCGCACAGCTCCCGTACGATATCTCGTCGTTGTCCTGATCGGACGTGGAAAAGTACTGGAAGTCGTGGTAATACAGGCAGTCTCCACCGCCCCCGCCCGTGAAATCCCCAAGTAGCAACTGATACCTGTTCAACAACAAACAAACAAATGCTAAATCATGAAAGTTCATCCGTGTTGGTAGTTACATGTTTGAGTTAAAACTTTAGATCCAACACAAAAAGTTCTCTCATCTAGAGCTTTCGACCAGTCACTCTGGTCTTCCTCAGTAGACTGACCCAGTGAGGCTTGTCACGTGGTTTCTTTGAAATGTGACGTCAACACTGGGTCAAAGGTATCTGGTAGACCATGTCGGCCCCCGTCGCGGTTCAATGAAGGGTGACATCGTTTACCAGATACCTTTGACCCAGTGTTGACGCCATACTTCAAAGAAGCCACGTGACAAGCTTCACTGGGTCAGTCTACTGAGGAAGACCAGAGTGACTGGTCAACACTGGGTCAAATGTATCTGGGTAGACGATGTCAGCCCCCGTCGCGGTTCAATGAAGTGTGACATCGTTTACCAGATACATGTACCTTTGACCCAGTGTTGACGTCACACTTCAAAGAAGCCACGTGACAAGCTTCACTGGGTCAGTCTACTGAGGAAGACCAGAGTGACTGATCGAAAGCTCAAGGTGAAAGAACTTTTCGTGTTAAAAGTTTTTACCTTTAAACAAACCATAAATCAACTGGTTCGTAGAATGTTCTAACGTCACTAGCACTGGTTATTGGAATGATTTTTTCGCCTAGTGGCTGGACATAATGTACTGTAAAGTAAAAAAAAAAGCTTGAAAAGAACAAATACTTAAATCACTGCAAAATACGCTATTTTCAAGAGTGTTTCGATGAACAACAGACCACATTTCTACAATACATTATTCTCCTAGATAATGCTTGATCCGAACATTCTTTGTAGTCTGCCACACGTAAGAACATGTATGTACGAATTCTGTGGGATTGTCAAATTCTTTTATGTTCTATTTCTTTAAATGAATGTTACAAAAGAAAAAAAACTGATACCTGTTTTCCTCGTCTTTGATGCGGAAGAAGTTGTAGTCCGCTCGGGCAGACTGTCCGTTAAACCTCTCCAGGCGCACTTGGAGCCGGTAGCGACCTTGGTTGGTGAGCAGGTGAATGTTGTCGTTGCCGAGCCAGAAGCTTCCCTCTAGGTCACCGAAGCCGTTCTTGTAGTCCTCCCAGTTGCGGTTGAAGTCGACGCTACTGTCTGCCCGTCTCTGTATGATGTTCCAAGCCTGCCCTCCCTCCATGCGGCAGTAGAGTTGAGTTGGTGACTCTAACGACGCCAGGGTCACAGAGTACACTCCGCTTCGGGTGTGACCACTGGCCAACACGTCTGTACAATCTAAACAAGAAATCAAACGTTTCGTAAAGGAGACGAATAAAAGAATAACGACCCTCTAAGTTTTAAATGAATATAGAAAAAGGTACGCCAAAATGCAGTTACTCAAGCAACTGGATATGATTTTAGAAACGGTCAGACGTTTAAGCTAGCATCCACTAGCTTTCGTCAGTTAGGCCACACCAAGTAAATTTTATGGATGACGTCCTTTGGAGACCCTAAATCTAATGCGAGAGGGCGAAAAAAACAAGAAAGGCCCTAAAAACAAGATGCCTAGATTAGAAATATACTAAGAGATGACAAATGTTAGGACACAAATTGAATGAGGTGACACAGTGTAACAAGCAAGAAGTCTTTTATTCATCATCAAAATAGCAATAAATCAGGTGGAACAGCAGATGTCGTCCTGTCCTGTTTTCGCGTTACGGGTTTCACGTCAATCTGACGATTTGATTCACTGTAGTGACCCTTTGGTCATAGTTACAGGAAGCAGAATTTCTTGTTGTTTTTTTTTCTAGGAACAGGCCAAAATCAATGCGCGCGCGGACGTCATCCATAAAATTTAGTTGGTGTGGCCTTACTGAGAGACCAGAGGAGAAATGCAGATTTATTTAGCACAAACTATAGAAAAAAATACAAATTTCAAAAGTACCGAGATACAACTACTGCTACTACCTTTACACGTGAATATCTTTTGCTCTACTGCCATAAATTCTATTTTGCTATCAAGTGTAAACTTGGAGAAAACGGTGTTACTCTTTGCCAATTTCAGTTAAATCACAATTACCTAGAAAGGTAACATTTGCAAAGCAAGTGCATAATGTTTACCACCGCAAATGGTCTTCTTCATAGAAGTCTAAATCCCTCCTACTATAAAATTGCAACATGATGTAACTCAACACCAGTTGCCATGGTGAGAGACTGTCTGGTTCAGGTCATTGACCAGGTCAGAGGTTACCGTTTGGAGAAAAAGAGGAAGAAGAAACAGAGCAAAAACAAGACATTTTTCTTTGGTAAACATAATAACAGTAGATTTTGTGTTGAATACAATGAATTATTGTGTGAATATATTACCACGGATGTCTCCCAGAGCCACATTTCCAGCGTTCCCGGTAGCGCTAGTAGGTTTTTGCGGGGGTGTCGGTTGGAAGTTATGATAGAACTCGCCCAGTGAGGTCACATTCACTACAGAAACAACAAGTAAAATATGAGATTTTATACCTCCGGGATTTTCATTGTATATTTTTCATAAGGTTTTAAACAAAGAATTTATCGAGACCGGACACCCCTCTGTGTGAGGGGTCATATACGTGGACCAGACCGACAATAGCTTAAACACGCCAAAGGTCAACGGTCGCGACCACTGTCACGCTCAAAGGGGTGTTTTGGGGCCACCAAAAGGCACCATTTTCACGCCCGAAAAAACATATACAATAAAAACAAAAGAACGTGCATTATCTGCAGCCCAATAGCAAAACATATACCGAGTCTCAAAGGAATCCGTCCACCCAAACGCGAGAAACAGCTGCGAACATGAAAATCTAAATCTCTCACAAAACCCTTCCGCGGAAGGATGTCTCCTCCCCCGGAGGTAAATATCAATATAAAAGAGTTCACCGTGATAAATTTTGTTCTTGCAATCTAGATTAAATCAAAATTTACTTAAGGACAATGTGATATAATAGAATTTTAACAAATATTCATTAATAATTTAAGCAACATTGACGTATAGTAATAATAAACCAACCAATATAGTAAAGACATATAATTGTAAAAACGTTAACTGACGCATTTAAATGCACCATACTAGGTTTACATTTATTTAAAATCATTAAGCAATTAGAGTTTTAATGTAAAAAATGCAATTTTCTAATGCAAAAAAAAATTGCCATATGTGAACCATTCTTCAAAACCCGAAATAATCTTTTTGTTTAAACTTTTTTGTTACATAATATCTACACGACTAGGGTTAAAACACCGTAGTAAACAATGGATCTCAGAGAACGACAAATGTTGTTTTGTAACTCTGTGGCTTATGTTGAACACTTTTTTTTATCATTGTGACATTGTAAAAACTCAATTGGTGAGAAGTAGAAAAACTTTACTGTGTCAAATGTGGAAACATATCATCTTTATCTCTACATGATATTATTCTCGGTTACAAAATTCACGAAATTGTAAAATTTCATTAATGTATTGATATTACTTGGAAATTGTACAATTTGCAAGTACAAGTATGGTACATACAATGGAAATATTATATTATTATTTGAAAATGAATGCCCCTTTAGAGGTTTAATGTAAACATTGTTTGCCATATGTAAATGTGTATCATTTGATTGAATATTTCGTTTGTCAATAAAAGATGTCTTGAGTTTTTAAAAAAAATTGTTGTTACGCACATTTATACGTTCATTGAGGGTCTTAGAAGTATGACCATATGTTTACACATACCGGAAAGGGCTGCCATGTTCCTCTCGAAATCTTTCGTCCGTTTGCCGATAGTCGTAAGGTCGTCGTATATGTCTCTAAGGATCGCCATATCCTTCATAACTCTTGCTACCTCACAAAACAGAGAAGAAAAATTAATCTCTCATATATACCATGATGTTCTTTATAATTAGTGGTCTTTAACGCAGTTGGTATATCCGGGATTGGTTAACAACGCGTTAGGCCACAGCAAGTAAATTTTATAGATGACATCCTCCGCAGACTCCAAATCTAATGCGAGCGGGCGAAAAAAAACAAGGCAGGCCAAAATAAAACAAAGTTCCTACATTTGAAAATTTTGTACTCAATCATTGTACAGATGGTTTTGATTCAGTAGGAACATCACATATACACAGCCAGCATCACATATCACTGCATCAATATAAGAAACAAACATTATAAATCAAAGCCTTTTCTTGTCTCCTCTCTTTATAGTTATCTGCCATCCACCTTCTGGCATGGCAGCAGACATCTTTGCCCATATTTGATTTCGGCATGTCAGAAGGCAACAAAAGTTCTTTTTTTCTCTCCTAAATCAGCCATCCATAAAAATTACTTGCCTAATACATACAAGCATTTGATTGGCCACCCCATGTTCTCATTCGTGATCATCTAGTCCAGTCTATTTCAATGCAATGCACGTTGTCGTTATATTATTGATTTCTAAAAGACTGTATTTTGAAATGTGAACACCCCAAAGGCAAGATTCAAAATCATCGTCAAATGGCGCTATAAATGTTACAGTGTGCGTGAGGCTATCCCTGTCCACCCCCGTCTAAACGTAGAAATTCAAATATTTTACGGGCATGCAGCCACTCTCTCATTGGTCAAACCGCTAATTGATATGCTATCATTGGTTGAATTGCAGTATTGAAATCCAGTGTGATTGTGGTCTGTACTCACCTGAAAGATATCGTATCTTCTTTTGGAAACTTGATTCCGTTAATTTGGAAACTGGTGCGGCATTGGCCGGAGAAGCCACAAGCAGGACGATCACAGAAGTCACGACCAATCGAATCATGGCTTTCATTGAAACTAAAAGATTGTACAAAATCAGTCGTATTGTGCTGTAGTTGTTGTCTGTATATTTAGTCAACTGAAATCAGCGAAGAGTCATTTTCTAAACAATTTTATAGCAGATGTAAGAAGTAAGTCATTCTCATGTTTTACGCCTTTTGCTCACAACATTCGGTTGTACACTTTTGTAATTTTGCATTCCCCCACGCACTAAATGTTGCTAACACAAATGCTACAAATCTTAGAACGAGCAATAGTCTTACATCTGCTTGGAAACTTATTTTCTTGTCATCCACTCGTACACGTACAAGTATCCCGTCTATCTACCGACCCCCCCCCCCCTAACCCAACAACAGCATGGCGTAAGAGAATCTTAACTTAAGACTGGCCGATGATACGAGCTACATTCAAAGCAGGCTATAACGTTTACATGATAAGCCGGGGGAAAAGGGAAGAGAAGTATGACAAAGACAGATATACGTAAATAGAGAGATAGACTAAGTAGGAAAATGTTAGCCTCTACCAGGCTTCGGGAGGCGGCTGGAAAGAGTACAAATCGGGGAAATAGAGAGATAACATGCCAGGGGAGTTTGTCTGCCGGGAGAGAACATTAGGGCGGTAAAATGTTGTCTCACAGCAAACAAACTCCCCTGGCATGTTATCTCTCTATTTGCCCAACTTCTACTCTCTCCAGCCGTCTCCCGAAGCCTAGTAAAGGCTAGGAAAATATTGAAAAGGAGAAAAACAACATGAACGAAGCATCTACCGTGTCCTTGAGTCTTGAAGTATTATATGAAAGAGTTGCTTCTAGACCAGAGACACAGAACTAAAGGTGGCAATCAAGTTACCAGCCATTCTCACGGCCATTACCAGCTGACATACTTTAAAGTAAAAGTTTAATCGCAGTACCTTTGACGCATTTGCACCCTAATTAGATTATCATACGTGTGATCAAATCTGCAATAACTACATTATGACTATCGAGCTGTGATAATTATACTGTAATTTGATTTGTAGACGACGAACCTGATTGGGTAGTTAAAAGTACATACAACAAATTACTTCTGACTTGGAACGCAAATTGAATGAAATGTAATTAGGCAAAGTTAGTCCCTATTTACTATTCATTGTTGAAGCAAAAGTGCTCAAAAGGGTAAACAAAGTTTTGAATAAGAATTCTCTGCCTCATTCGTTGTTCTCTAAACATGCTAAATGATCAAAACTTTTGTTAGGGGATGTTTCTAGAGTGTAGTCAATCAGTACCATAGTGACGGACCTGTAACAACAAGTGATTCCAATGATTCAGCAAAATATATTCTTAAAAGGATCGTGGTAGCTTAGACCACGTGTGTTGAATCTTGTTGTTAATTGTTCTGTGAATGGATGCGACAGTGTGTGTGTGTGTGCGTGTTTGTGTGTGTGTGATTGTGTGTGTGTCTGTGTATCATTACTAGTGTATGTGTATGTTTATCTGTTTATGTGTGTGTGTGTGTGTGTGTGTGTGTGTGTGTGTGTGTGTGTGTGTGTGTGTGTGTGTGTGTGTGTGTGTGTGTACATGTATCTGTGTATGTATGTGTGTGTGTATTTTTTGTCCATGCATTTGTATCTGTGCGTTCGTGTGTATGACAAGAACCAGGCTGCAAGAACTCTGCAAGTACAGGTAGATAATGATAATAATCCTGAAATCGCAAAATACGAAAGGTATCCATTTTACTTTCAAGCTATTATACAAAACATGAACAACGTATGTGAATAAATGTATAGAAAAAAGAGCATGATTGTAATATGCGGAAAATATCAGTCCGTGAAATTGGCAGCTACAAAGTGATCATTAACAAATCGCAGTTCCTGATATTTCACATTTTCTACTGGGTCACACATGGAAAGGTTCTCGCCTTCCCACCACGTTCTCAAGTCTGTGTAAACTTTCCTTTTAGTTGGGCACCTCTCAAGAAGCTCTCTACACAAATTACACCATCGGCCTTCATCCAAGGGCATGTTCTTAGGAGGAGGAATAGTCTTCCACTTAAAGTAGGCGTTGTATCTATCTTTATCGTGAGCAAGCAGGTTTAAGTAATCTGCTAGTTCCTTGGGTGAGTTGAAGTCGTCCACGTGAATGTAGGAATGAGGTGGTGCTAGTCTCTCGTAGTCAGATCTGTTGGCTCCCAGAACAACTGGAACGACATCGTTTTCCAGAGCATTCCTCCAGAACTTCTCTGTGAGGTACTCTTTACACTTCATGTTCTCGAAGGCGATATAGAACTTGTACTGCCTGATTATGTCGTTCATGCATTTGAATTTCTTTTTAGCACAGACGTCGTTTGTTCCACATCTGCCATAGACATCGATGTGCATGTGTTTGACGAGTTCGGTAGCATAAGCGATGCGGTTGGCTTGAGTGTTGCACTTACTGATGAACCAGACCGCCAGCTTCTTCTTCCCTGCTGTGTAGTCCTTGTTGGGATCGACTCCTTCGTCTTTGACTCTCTGGTAGGTCTTATACAACGATCCCCATATCCCTGAGGAGTCTGAATCAGCCCTGTAGCTGACGGTCCAGTTAAACACACTCCTGTATGTTTCAAAGTTTATAGACCGGTAATTCGGACACTCTGTGCGGTACCAGATCCAATGCTGGTGAGGATAGCGAACTGTAGGCATCGCAGAGGAGTTATAGTCCTCCGGCAACTTTGATACTTCGAAGAGGACAGCATCAGCTTTGTGGATGTCTTCGCGATACTTGGAAAAGATACAATTACTTATACGATCACACCTTGTGCGTCTCCCCTTTTGTACCCCCTCTCTTAATGAGTCATCAAGTAGCTGTGTCCAAATCAAAATGATTATCTGTTCCCTTTTGGTCAATGTCTTTTCAGTAGGTGGATCGTACCATACAGAATAAAACTTTGACAAATGATTGACGAGGGGGTCATCTTTGGGATCGCTGCGACAGGTTGGAATCATCTGTTCAGGACTAGGAGGGACAGTTTTACTGGTGTCAAATTCAACCTTTGGATCCCTCGAATACCTTAAAACCATTTTGTCTGTAGAATAGACCATTAGAATGGCGCCTAGACATGTTAAGAATATCACCAAAGTCAACTTGAGAAAATATCTTCGTGATGGCCACATTTTGTATGGCAACGGTTAAAACCTGTTTGAAGTTTGAATATGCCCCTAACACTGTTAGTAGTTGGTTCAACGTCTCATGGTTCTGGAGACTTTCTCTCTTGACGAAGTAAGCTTCCGGCTTAGGTGTGTGCCACAAGATCTGTATGAAAGCCTGAAATGAGAGATTTACTTAAGATCACCATCGTATATTTGAAACAATATATTTTTCAACCCAACTTTATTCCAACAAGCACGTTTGTACATAATTAGTTACTTCGTGACAAAAGAAAAGTCCTGCTGATAGATACTCAGTACAGTATGTCAGTAGTGTCTGTTAAAGACCACAAGTTTACAGACTTTAACTTATATTTCTACATAGTACATAAAAAGTTGCAGAATGCCGTGATTTTTAACAGAGTGGGAGTATCCTTAAATTTAACCCAAGATAAAAAATATAGCATATTTGAAACAATATATGTTTACTTTCCCCGCAGGTGTGAATGAAAATGTGCAGGTTATTTTAAACACATTTTAATTTTTAAGCCAACTCAACCTGTGATCAATAACATCTGTTAATCAAGAGTAAATGTAGAGGTCACTTACCTAACCGTACCGACCGTCTGGGTAATTCTAAATTCCGGATTCTAAAAACAAGGCGTCCATTCTAGAAAACTAGTCAGATCGATTGAGGTTTGAAATTACGACCTAAAATAATTGGACACATTTGTCAAACGACACGTTTACAGAGTTAACAAATTTGACGGTATGTTGGTAACAGTACTAGTTTAGGATGTGTAGCAAAAAAAAAATCAGCTGTCTTGTTGAGGAAAGGTTGTCGGAGGCCCTTGTCAGTGGACGGTGTGTGCAGACAACGTTTACAGCCTGTTTTGCTAGGTCGATTGTAGATTGACCTTTCACCTACAGTAGCGGCCAATGCGTACTTGTACAACTCGTCGAACAACCTGCTACAGTCCCATTTTGAATCAGATTCGTCATAACACTTGGCTTTACAACGAAAACACGTATCGATAACTAGGAGTCATTCAAGGTAAGGGTTCAAATCAATTGTGCTTTCATCGATGAAGGTTAGATATCCAGGTAATGCGATACGCCAAAAAGCAGTTACTCAAGCAACTGGATATGATTTTGGAAACGGTCAGACGTTTCAGCTAGTATCCACTAGCTTCCGTCATTTATTGTCACTGACGAAAGCTACTGTGGATACTACATGTAGCTGGAACGTCTGACCGTTTCCAAAATCATATCCAGTTGCTTGATTAACTGATTTTTGGCCAATTGCGTTTTCCACTTTCCACAATTTAAACGTTGTTATGTAAGACATCCATGGCTGGGGTGTCCAAGTACTATGGCCATCCCAACGCCACACAGCCATATTTAATTAGCCTCTGGGCGACTATTTTGTACATACCACAGCTTCACTTTTTCTTTCTGCTATACTGTGAGTATTTTGTTTTTGCACCACCATCACCGGTGGTCGTGTCAGGGTATTGACCCCCTGGACGTTACAGACCGTGAGGGGTATTGTCCAGTACTGTGTAGATGTAGAACCAGATTTCGAAAGTACCTCCTATAATTTCATTGTTACAGCTCGTCCCTACATTAGGGTCAGTGATGTGATGGCGTATTTACAAAATGTAGTTGTCTGTAGCTCAATTGAGACGTGACTAATATGAAAATGTCATGCACAACATATAGGGGTTTTCTTTTACACAACCAAACTATTCCTTTCTAACTTACGCTCCGGTGTCTACCAGACACCTCCTTCAGAGCATCCGACTGGAGTTCTGCTTCTCGCCGCTATATGTGGCCGGTGTAAGTGGCACTTCTGTGGCGAGAACGCAACCCCCAAACACGGGGTCGGAAGCTCTGAAGAAGGTGTCTGATAGACACCGAAACGTAAGCAAGATAGGAATAACTTGGTTGTGTAAAAGACAACCCCTATATCCTATACTCTACCAACTTAGTGAAACTATTTTAGGAATGTCATACATAATTTGTACCATAGGGAGGTACCTACAAGCTTGGATTTGAGTTTTCTTTCCGAGGTACATTATATGTAAAAAAGGCAACTCGATGTATTTGGACGTTGTACTAAATTTGTACCAAATACCATTTTAAGCTTTTAAACTATGAAAACTATTGGCAAGAATACCAGTAAATAATGCACGAGTGTGTGTAGATACATTTCAACTGCATTTGTTTAAATTTTTACGGTTTGGCAATAAAAAACTGATGATTTAACCCTAACATATCTTAATTCTATTTCATTTTTTTCACACACAGCTTGGGGCAAACTTATAGCCGAACATTGGTGACAACCTCTTCAAGAGAAAAAAAAATCAAGATCTTGGACCGTATAAAAGTACCGGGGCAATCTTCACACCACTCAGTATCAGAACCACCACCCAAAATGTGGTTATCAGCTAAATATTTGTTCAAGTTGTCTTTTGTTATACTCTTAATATATCTGGTCCACTTTGCAGACAAAAAGTTTTTACGGGTTAAAAGAGATCTGAAGGTTGACTGTGACTGCACAAAAAGTAATACTGTAACAGTCCCTCCGAATCCTGGACAGGCACTTCCAAACTGTCGCAGCGATCCCAAAGATGACCCTCTTGTCAATCCTTTATCAAAGTTTTATTCTGTATGGTACGACCCACCTACTGAAAAGACATTAGCCAAACGGGAACATGTTAAGATTGTCTTTTGGACAGAGCTTTGGGACAACCGTTTGAGCAAAATGCTACCGAGAGGGAGACGGGCAATGTGTCCAAGTAGGCCGAATTGCATGTTTTCCAAATACCGAGAGGAAATTGGTGAGGCCGATGCTGTCTTCTTCGGAGTGAGCAACTTGTCTAAGGACTATAACTCCTCTGCGATGCCTACAGTTCGCTATCCTCACCAGCATTGGGTCTGGTTCCACACCGAGTGTCCAAATTACCGGTCTATAAACTTTGAAACATACAGGAGTGTGTTTAACTGGACCATCAGCTACAGGGCTGATTCAGACTCCTCAGGGATATGGGGATCGTTGTATAAGACCTACCAGAGAGTCAAAGACGAAGGAGTCGATCCCAACAAGGACTACACAGCAGGGAAGAAGAAACTGGCGGTCTGGTTCATCAGTAAGTGCAACACTCAAGCCAACCGCATCGCTTATGCTACCGAACTCGTCAAACACATGCACATCGATGTCTATGGCAGATGTGGAACAAACGACGTCTGTGCGAAATGGCACGTCAAATGCATGCCTAAAGTCATCAGGCAGTACAAGTTCTATATCGCCTTTGAGAACATGAAGTGTAAAGAGTACCTTACAGAGAAGTTCTGGAGGAATGGCCTGGCAAACGACGTTGTTCCAGTTGTTCTGGGAGCCAACAGATCTGACTACGAGAGACTAGCACCACCTCACTCCTACATTCACGTGGACGACTTCAAGTCACCCAAGGAACTAGCAGATTACTTAAAGATGCTTGCTGACGATAAAGATAGATACAACGCCTACTTTAAGTGGAAGACTATTCCTCCTCCTAAGAACATGCCCTTGGATGAAGGTGTATGGTGCAATCTGTGTAGAGAGCTTCTTGAGAGGTGCCCAACTAAAAGGAAAGTTTACACAGACTTGAGAACGTGGTTTGAAGGCGAGAATCTTTCAATGTGTGATCCCGCAGAAAATGTGAAATATCAAGAACTTCGGTTTGTTGACAACCACTTTAAAATTACTACATATACAGACTAATATGTATACACACTATTAGTGTAACACACCTTTTCCCTATGCATTACTTACTAGCCAAAAGGTTAATTCATATAGAATTTATTCCAAAGTGAGATCATACCATGCTTGGTGCTAGGCCTGTAATATATAGATTGGTATATAATTATTGGTAAATAATTTAATTATAATTACATACATGTAGGTTGGTATAATACGCAAACATACCGGTTAAATTTACTGACATGTTTGTTCTGACATTAACGTTATGGCGACTTTTCTATGGACATTTCTTTTAATACATTCACATATTTTTCTATTGGGCGAAAAGCACAAGTTGCTTATATAACACCTTCTACTCAAAACATACAACGAGTGTAAAACACATTGACAAGATACATGCATAATTACATGGGGATAAAACCAAGATAAATACAAACAAGACAAGGTGCTGATCTATCAATTACGAGAATCTACCCGTACAGTAAATGAAGTTTTGAACTACATCAAAAACATTACAGTTTTGTAGGTGTGAAAGTGATGAGGACCCTGGAAGTAGGACATGCTTTTGTTTTGACGCATTGGACTCTATTCCACTGTTGTCCACCTTTTGTTGCTTGACTAAATGTAATCATGTCTTGTCCTGTGTAAATGTGGAAAGTATCTTCTACTAGCTGAATTGGCTACCCAGTCGTTTTCAGATGAAATAAATAAAGTCTTTCATATAGAGAAGTCATTGATATTGCCTTTTTATTTACCTTGTAATGGCCCTAACGTTACAAGTTTTACGTCTGTTAATATATAGATACATGACTGTACGTACATGTACTCACCGTTCCTCTCAACTGACAAATAAATAAAAGTTCCTATAACACATAAAATAAGCATTAAGATAACTTTTTTACGCAAATGTACAAGCTATTTTCAAAGCTTTGTTCTTTCGAAGAAGTATGTTCAATAACTTCACAAGCTATTACAGTAGTAGCTGTTTGAATATAATACACTTTCTGAAAACAATTTTTGTTTACCTGGATACATATTGTCATGTTTTCTGTACAATGACTAGTAAACGTCAATTCGAATCGGGCTTTGCACATATATATTTAAGCCTTGTCAAATGGACAGTAAAAACTAATAAAAATTGGCTACAATCGTCTACTGTTGAACAAGGATAAAAAAACATAAAATTCAACATGAACATTAAAAACTCATTTCGCATGTTTGAATTGTTAAATCAAATGAAAAATTCTTATACACGTATTAAATGGTTAACGTTCTTACAACTGCATCAGTGATAGCATGTAAAATTAATTATCATGACATTAATTATTACGAAAACAATCTTCTGTTCTACTACCTTAAGAATTCCATTGCTCAAGTCTGCCCAATGTCATATAGTGGATGTTTTATATCATACACAACTATTCTTATTCTGCAAATAGAAGAATGTGAATATTCTGAGCTACTCTAAAGGCCTTCAGTAATTATAGTTCTGCTATACTAAGAAGTGATCTGCACCAACATTGCATCATATGCACCCTAGGAAGAAACTGTAATTATTATGGCATCCTGAGACTTAGTGCATTATAAATATGTAATTGAACAAATATAATGGCATTATAAGCATGTTGCAATGGCAAGGAAGAAATTTTCAATACTATGGCATCATATGCACATTTAGGTTGTACTTCTAAGATTTGCACTAAGATTGCACCATAAGCACACCGAATGTCAACACTTTTACTAAACATTGCATCATAATCACCTTGCACCATACTAAGATTTCCACCAGCATTGAGCATCTAAAAGATATTAGATAGAATTTTGCAAAGAAATTTGCATGTACATAAGAAATTTGCACTAACCTTAGTTCTACTGCACTATTAACTTTGGCACATACTACAAGCTGCAGGCACTAAACATCTGTGTCGAGAACCCTTAGGATTAGGCCATGTAGTAAGTAAATTTTATGGATGACATCCTCAAAACCTAATGCGATAGGGTGATAAAAAAAAGCAAGGCGGGCCAAAAAAACAAGATTACGTTTTTAAATTTTGACATCACAAACCTTGAATGATATGAGAAGAAATGATACCTATATTGTGCTTAGTTTACTATCAACGATCACAACATCCATTTGTCACTGTAACAACTTTGAAAAGTAAAAGTTTTCATTCATTGTACAATGTGTTTGATTCAGTGGGAACATATAAAAGGAATAAAATACATCACTGCATCAAAGTAAAAGACAATCATGGTCTCTTCCTATTTATCTGCCATCCACCTTCCGGCATGGCAACAGACATCTTTGCCTATTTCCAGCATGTCAGAGGGTAAAAAAAAATTCTTGTTTTTTATTCCAAATCGGGCAAAAATTATAATGTGCGCGCTGATGTCATCCATAAAAATTACTTGCTGTGGCCTTATATAGGAAAGCTGCTGTAGTAGTGCATTATCAGCCATTAGAAAAAAAGCATCATGCTTCACCTCAATAATATCTAACCTATACCACATTTAGATTAATAATTTCATACATACAATGTAATTCAAGAAATTACGTCAACGAAATGAACCTCATACATCATGTATATTACTACATGTAGCTAGTAACATGCCATATAAACTATACATGCACTTTTCCCTTTTTCCATAATTTACATATCTTTACGTCATTTGACATGAATTGCTCTTGGGTTTTTATAAGAAAAGAAATCTTGGGTACCTGTACAGCTTTATACATATTAATTAATATATATAGTTGTGTATGTAAATGATTGAAAATAATAATGTGAAACAATCTGACTATAATGCTTGAAAAGTAAACCCAAAATTTATCCTATGTTAGGCCACACCAATTTAATTTCTTGGTTAACGGATTTTTCTAGAAAAATAATGGAGCGGGCGGGCGAAAAAAAAATAAAAATAAAAACAGGCCTAGGCATCCTATTATGGCCCAAAATGGTATGATAGGAGCCATGAACTCAACAAACCAGGCTGGTTCAAAATTTAAACAATGAATTTTGAACTTTTAATGATACCACTGCATTGAAAGATGGAGTAACTGTAACAACTAGGAAGAAA